CACAAATGACATAAAGTACCTTGGTGTAACCCTAACCAAGCAAGTCAAAGACTTGTATGAAAAAAATGTCAAGTCTCGGAAGAAAGAATTAGAAGAAGATACAGGAAGATGGAAAGATCTCCCATGCTCATGGCTTGGCAGGATTAACATAGTAAAAATGGCCATCTTACCAAAAGCAATCTACAGATTCAATGTAATTCCCATCAAATTACCAACACAATTCTTTATAGACCTGGAAAGAAAATTTCTCACCTTCATATGGAATAACAAGAAACCCAGAATTGTTAAAACAATCCTCTACAATAAAAGATCTTCTGGAGGTATCTCCATCCCTGATCTTAAGCTGTACTATAGAGCAACAGTTATAAAAACTGCATGGTACTGGCATAGAAACAGAATGGTGGATCAATGGAATTGAATAGAAGACCCAGAAATAAACCCACACACTTATGGAGACCTGATTTTTGACAAAGATGCCAAAATCATACAATGTAAAAAAGATAGCATCTTCAACAGCTGGTGCTGGTCTAACTGGATGTCTACATGTAGAAATATGCAAATAGATCCATATTTATCACCCTGCACAAAACTAAAGTCCAAGTGGATCAAAGACCTCAACATAAAACCAGACACATTAAATCAGTTAGAAGAAAAAGTGGGGAAGACCCTAGAACTCATTGGTACAGAAGACAGCTTCCTGAACAGAACACCAACAGCAGAGGCTCTAAGAGCAACAATCAATAAATAGGACCTCATGAAACTGAAAAGCTTCTGTAAAGCAAAGGACATCATCATCAAAACAAAACGAATGCCTACAGATTGGGAAAGAATCTTCACTAACCCTTTATCTGACAGAGGACTCATATCCAGTATGAGATAAAGAACCAAAGAAGCTGAAAAGCAACAAACCAAGTAACCCAATTAAAAAATGGGGAACAGAGCTAAACAGAAAATTCTCTGTAGAGGAATATTGAATGGCAGAGAAACACTTAAAGAAATGTTCAACCTCATTAGCCATCAGGGAAATGCAAATCAAAACAACCCTGAGATTTCACCTTACACCTATCATAATGGCAAAAATCAAAAACTCAAGGGGCAACACATGCTGGAGAGGTTGTGGAGAAAGGGGAACCCTCCTCCACTGCTGGTGGAAATGTAAACTTGTATAACTACTCTGGAAATCAATCTGGCGCTTTCTCAGACAAATAGGAATAGCACTTCCTCAAGATCCAGCTATACCACTCCGAGGCATATATCCAAAAAAGGCTCACAGTAAGGACATTTGCTCAACCATGTTTGTAGCAGCTTTATTTGAAGTAGCCAGAAGCTGGAAACAAGCCAGATACCCCTCAACTGAAGAATGGATACAGAAATTGTAAATTCCATCTACACAATGGAATATTACTCAGCAATGAAAAATAAGGCAATCATGAAATTTGCAGGTAAATGGTGGGAACTGGAAAGGATCATCCTGAGTGAGCTGTCCCAGAAACAGAAAGATACACACAGTATATACTCACTCATATAGATATGTAACATAGGATAAACCTACTAAAACCTGTACATCTAAAGAAACTAATTAAGGGAGATGACCCTGACTAAAATGTTCAATCCCCATCCTGAAAGGCAAAGAGGAAGAACATCAGAAGAAGAAAACAGGAAACAAGTTAGGAACCTGCCACAAAGGGCCTCTGAAAGGCTCTGCCCTGCAGGCTATCAAAGCAGATGCTGAGACTTATGGCCAACTGTTGGGCAGAGTGTATGGAATCTTATGAAAGAAGTGGGAAATAGTAAGATCTGGAGAGGACAGGAGCTCCACAAGGAAAGCAACAGGACCAGAAAATTTGAACACAGAGGTCTTTCCAGTGACCCATACTCCAACCAAGGACCATGCATGGAGATAACCTAAAACCCCTGCACAGATGTAGCCCATGGCAGTTCAGTGTCCAAGTGGGTTCCATAGTAATGGGAAGAGGCACTGCCTCTGACATAAACTGATTGTCCTGCTCTTTGATCACCTTTTCCTGAGGGGTAGCAGCCTTACTAGGCCACAGAAGATGACAATGCAGCCACTCCTGATAAGATCTGATAGACTAAGTTCAGAAGGAAGGAAAAGGGGACCTCCCCTATCAGTGGACTTGGTGAGGGGCATGCGTGAAGAAGGGGGAGGGAGGGTGGGATTGGGAGGGGAAGAGGGAGGGGTTTATGGTGGGATACAAAGTGAATAAAGTGTAATTAATAAAAAATGCATTTGAAAAAATGCTGTCACATTCTGGATATTGATCATGAACTGAGCAATGAAGTGCAAAGGAGCATAGGCTTCAAGGGTGCTTGGTGAGGTTAACGTAGCAAATAGGAGATGGATACCACCACAGGGATAAATGGAATGGCCAACTACTAGATGAAAACTGTAAGAGATAAACATATCGTGGTAGCTCAGTGACCAATTGGTTTCCCATAGTAAGGGGAACAAGGACTATTTCTAACAGGATCTCAATGACTGGCTCTTTGACCTCCCCACCCCCTAAGGGAGGAGCAGTCCTGTTAGGCCACAGAGGAGGGCTTTGCAGCCAGTCCTGAAGATACTTGATAAAACAGGGTCAGATGAATGGGGAGATGGTCCCCCCTATCAGTGGACTTGGAAAGGGTCAGGGTAGAGATGAGGGAGGGAGGGTGGGATTGGAAGGGATTGAGGGAGCAGGATACAGCTGGGATACAGAGTTAATAAAATGTAACTAATAAGAAAAAAATAAAATTAAAAAAAAGAAAGACAAATGGGATGGACATTGGAGGTAGGAGAAAACAAGTAACAGGACAGGAGCCTACCACAGAGGACCTCTGGAAGACTCTAAGTAGCAGTGTATCAAAGCAAATGCTGAGACTCATAACCAAAACTTCCTCAGAGTGCAGGTCATCATATGAATAAAGTGGGAGTTAGTACGACCTGGAGAGGACAGGAGCTCCACAAGGACCAAATATATCTGGGCACAGGGGCCTTTTATGAGATTGTTTCTCCAACCAAGGACCATGCATGGATATAACCTAGAACCCTTGCTCATATGTAGCCCATGGTAGCTCAGTCTCCAAGTGGGTACCCTTGTAAGGGGAACATGGTCTGTTTTTGACATGAACTCAATGGCTGGCTCTTTGACCTCTCCCCTCCCTCAAGGGAGGAGCAGTCCTTCTAGGCCACAGAGGAGGACATTGCAGCCAGTCCTGAAGATACCTGATAAGCTACGGTCAGATGGAAGGGGTGGAGGACCTCCCCTATCAGTGGACTTGAAAAGGGGCATGGGAGGAGATGAGGGAGAGAGGGTGGGATTGTTAGGGAATGAGGGAGGGGGCTATGGCTGGGATACAAGGTAACTAAGCTGTGATAATGTAAAAAAATTATTAAAAAAAGAAATCTCAAAAAAAGAGATATACATATGGCGGTTAATTATTCTGTGAGCATTCAGATGGGCATGACATGGCAGCAGTTGAATAGGTATAAATGACAGACATGGTTGCCAGCCCCTAGTCAAGGAAGTTGAGGCCAGAACCGATGTTGGATGTGACGGCCTGAGCTCTGAGTGACTGATTGAATGGAAAGGGGCTGGTAGGGGGATGTAATAGAATAAGTTTACCCACAAAATGCCCATAATCTAACCCCTGGACACTGTGAGCATATCACCTTTTATAGCTAAAGGGGCTTTGCAGGCATTATCAATGTGAAGACCTTGGGGTGGAAACATCATCCTGGGGTTCCCAGTGGATTCAGTATGTTCTGAGGAAACACGAGACAGAACAGCATGTCAAAGACACAAGAGGAACAAAGGTGATGGCCATGAGCAACATCGCATGAAGTCAGCCCACTGTTTGTGCTTCTCCGGATGAAGGTAGAGATCACAAGCCAAGGAACAAGGCAGCTATCCAGAGCTGGGATGATCTTCACCTAGGTCCTGCAAACATGAGTTCTGCCAACAACCTAAAAAAGTGGGAAACGGTGCCCCCTTGTGTCTCTATGAAGAAAATATGGAATGGTAAAAAAAAAAAAAAATAGATTTGTGTGGTTTAAGCTTCTGAACCTGTGATGATTTCTTATGGTGGCAGTATAAAATTAACACGTCTGAACAGCATAAGTTCAAGACAAGCGAGGTAGAAAGAAATTGCACTTTTGAGGGGGGCATAATAGAAAGCACAAAAATGGGAAGGAAAATGGAGGGAGACAGGAGAGTTTTCCAGACAGAAACAACTGCATTATATAATCGGTTGAGGACAATGACATAACAGAATGTGCCCACTACTGGTGCGCTCAGAGAGAAAACCTTGAATCTCGGTGAGTCAGGAAAGAGAGAGAGAGAATCTGGGACTCAGCCGGCTTTCTCCTTTTCACTTCCGATTCGTTCTGAGACCATAGTGCATAGAATGGTGCCATCACTCTCAGTTAGTTCTTTGTGGGGAAATCCCTAAAGACAACTAGAGGAACTGATGATGGATGACCTGGGTGTTTCTTAATCCACTCCAGTTGACAATTGTAATTAACCTGCATAAATGGCAAGTGACAGGCAAAGGGAAAAGAAATGACACGTTCCATGTCCCTACCCATAGCCCCATCCGTCTTCCTACTTTCAGTTGTGTTGTACTCAAATTTTTATTCTGCCTTTTAAAAACACCTTAATTGTTTCTCTGAAGAACAACAGGTGTGGAAGTTAATAAAGTAACCTTTGATGCCCACTGCGATTCACACCTAGTGGCACACAGTAATTAATTTCTTTCTTGTCCATTCAGTGTTCACAGAGGCATTTACACTTTGCCTTTGTGGGACTGAAGGTAAAAGAAACTAGGTCTATTTTAACCACAGGCCTGAATCCCTTATGAAAACAGGTGCAAAGCTAGGAACACTGATTTTCAAAGGCCTTGCGATCAAAGAGCTGTTGGCAAAATGTCCCTGAGCAACCGAAGAGATAGAACGCCAGGCAGAGGAGAAAAGGGCTACGGAATCAGTATCCTCTCGTCACCTGTCTGTAAGTGGAGTTATGACAAGCCTGTCAGTGCAGCCTAAAAATTCATTCTGGTATATGAAAGCCACGTCTGTGATGTGGATCATCATCTTGTCAGAATCTTCCTTAAAATAAAACCTGCACTGCTTCAGCCACTCAAAGTCCGTAGGGCTCTTGACGTGCATGCGACACTGAAATTCAAAAAGCATGTGTTAGACCTGAGAGGAGTCACTGGCTAAACGGACACTTTAGCATTTGCACACATCGCAAAGGAGAAAGGAAAAAGCCAAGGAGGTGAGAGATGGCAAGCCTTTCATCATGTGACCCAGTCAGCTACTGAGCAACAAAAGAGAAACTGGAGAGGCTGTGAGAATGGGAGGGATCAAGACCACTCTAGCTGTGCCCCTCAAATTGAGATGGCATTACAGTTTAATAATAGGAGACTCATTTCTATAGTTGTAGCGCTTCATGCATAGTTTCATACTATCTGAAGCATGATGTTCAGTCTATAAGAACACAAAAACAAAACTGTAAGAATCTCACTATAAAAAAAAATGGAATCACTTAAAGAAAAAATATTTTAGGCTTTCTTTTTTTCCTCTTTTTTATTTTTATTAATTACAGTTTATTTACTTTGTATCTCCCCTGTACCTTCCTCCCTCCTGCCCTCCCAATCCCACCCTCCCTCTTTCCCACCCATGTCCCTCCCCAAGTCCACTGAAAAGGGAGGTCTTTAAAAAAAAAAAAAAAAAAACCATTTTTTTCCTCTAAATTTTCAACAAGCCCAAAATCCTAACATTTCAATAGCAGGTTAATACCTGCCAATGGTCTTGTCTAAAATTTTTACCAAAATTTTAAAACACTTTAATCATTTCTCTTTAACAAATAAATCTAGAGTTATCCTGTGCGCTTTATTTTTCTGAGAGCCAAACAGTGTGCTCTGCTATTAGGCGAGATTAGCACAAAGTAGCATGAAAATGCCTTCTTTTGATTCCACTACATCAGAACCAATCTTTCATAATCTTTTTTTACATAATGGGGCTCAGACACAATCCAGAAAATTATTACGAATATAAGAGCTTCTTGTCTATCACCTAATATTGCATTCTCTAGACGAGGACAACTCTAATTTCTCTTCATACTTCACATAACAGTAACTATGAATCTCCCGCCCATCCCGCTATCTTTTTCTTCACAGCATTGAAAGGCCACTTTGCAATCGACAACATAAAAAGCAGTAAAACTTGTGAAGGATGGAATTTGTCAAATCCCCCAAAGAAACCTTCACCAGTTTATTATTATGCATTCATAATATCTGCCCCCCAACCAGTGATCTTTGATCAATAACTACAAGGGAAACAAGACAGAGAATAGCTTTTGAGATGTGGCATGGTATTTTTAGCACCTAAAATAATCATAAGGAATTTTAAAATAATATCTAGTTACACCAATGATATAGAATAGTTTACTGGAATATGACTGAAATCTCAGCTTAAGGCCGAAAAGAGAATTTGACATGTTTGCTCTGATATCACTATGGCTCTGACTGAATCTGACCTTTTCACAAATTCAGTCTAATCAGTCTGGTGGGTGAACACAGACGGTATCTAGAGTTTGCTTTTCTGTACATGATGCAACATTTATAAAGCGTTTACCAGGTCATCAAAGATGTCCCTTTGGTGCACATGAATAGTAATCAGAGTCTCGTATTTAACCCGTTCCACGGAGCTCAGGTCCTTCGTGGTGATGTCAATCAACGTGTTCAGTAACTCTAGGAAGGACTGGTTGGTCTTCTGCATGATTTTTTTATCAAACTTGGCATTTTGAAGGGCTTCCTCTGAGTCTCGGGTCCATAGCATTTGAATCCCTAATAATCCAACCTTGTAGAGGTTTTAAACAAAAAAAGCTAAGGCTCTATGACAGTGTATATAGTATATTTACAACCTGCATAGAATTCAAAATTCACATAGAAGTCACAGCATAATAAAACTATAGCTATTACAAAAATGGATGGTCTTGATTTATTTGATTTATTATTATTATTTTATTTATTTCAAAGTCCACAGATTCCATTTATGCTATTAATACAATGGGTAAATATAGGAAGCCCTCTGACATGCCTATGTCTCTCTTAGGATCTTAGGTCACATGTGTTTACATCACACTTCTCTAAATAGATTCCTATGCAGATAAGGAATTAAATTAACTTGGCTTTATCCAAGTGTTCAGACATAGTAGGCACTCATAAAATATTTATTGATCACAAGAACTAGAAAAAAAGTTTCCTGTATTTTAATACCAAAGAATATTTTTACAGTTAGGTGTGTGCCAATGGTTTTTATGATCTATGTATTGTTACATAATGAGATTTCATAAGAGAAAAAATGTTTTAAGTTAAAGAAGATATATCAAGTACCTCAGTAACCCCAAGTCATATTTAAGTTTATAATTGTATATAGCCAAATAATCAATAGTGGAAAACTTTAAGCTTATCCATAGTTGGTAAGTCTTTATGAAAATCTTAATAATCAGTCAGAATAAAACTGCACCATTTATGAACCTTACAGAGGCAATATCTAAGATTTAAAATGACTGTTTTATTTAAAAAAATTTTTAAAAAAAGACAGAAAGAAAAAAATACTTTCCAATTTCAATACACTGACCTGAGCAGGAAAGGAAGAAAGAAATTCAATCAATTGAAAGCCTGTTTCTTGAATATTTGCAGCTGCCTGGCGAATCACAAGATGTAATGAGGCCTGAGATTCCTCCATCAGAGAATTAAGCCAGACTTCCACATTGCCCTCTGCCATCACCGGTTTGTCCAATTCAATAGTCTCACCCTCCCGAGAGGAAATTGACAGAATTCGATCATAGATCTGTGTTAGAAGAAGAAAAAGATAGCTATGTTCATATAAAAATAAGAAATGCCTTTCTTCTGTGCCCTTTGTCAATTTTACCCTTCCCATAAAAAGTTAAGGCACAAATCATAAAATAGAGGGCAAAACAGGACATGAAATCATTTCAAAGAAACAACACAAAGCTAGCTTTAAACTCTAAAGAAACCTAAATCAATTCCAACTCATCAGTACTCCAAAGGGCTGAACTTAGTTCTAAATGGAATACTTAATACAAATGTGCTGAGGGAAGAAAAAGAAACCCCTAAAATCCTCCAAGCAACACGGAGCTTTCAAAGAGCTGTAATTCCACACCACGTGATTATTGGTTTGACATTAACAATGACCTGATCAATGTGATGATAAGAACAGAACCATTACGAAGTAATTCTGATTCTGTGCCAAGCACCGCACTCTCTCTCCAGGAGAGTGTCCACGCGTCTCCGGACCAAACCCCACCCTTTCACTGCTCACTTCCCTTCGGTCTCCAGGCAACACACCCTCATGAGAAGAGCACGCTGTCTAGATCCTGCTGGATCTCTTCGTGGAGGACAGAACTAAGAATAAATTTCTTGTCTATATTAGTCATTAAAAGAAGACAACTATTCTGCATCTCTACCCATATGCATGACAAAAAAAGTGGCATAGAGTAAATGCAAATGTTTGCTGCTGTTTCTGCTCTTTGGTTTAAAATGGGTAAACCAACAAAACACGATTCTTTTGGAAACGAAATGTAGTGCTGTGTTATATCTCCTTACACTGATGTGATCTCACAAGAGGCTAGTGGGTCTTAAACTTCAGTCTCCTCACTTGCATTTGGTATTTATAATTCTGAAAAACTTGGAACCCACAGAATCAGGACCTGATTCAGGATGCAACAACCTTGTGGTAGGAACAAGAAAAAGTAAAGGCAATGATGTCTGCAGAAGTGTCTGTTAAGCAGAAGTTGAAGCTAAGTAGGCATTTAACCTACAAACTAGGAGACAAACAACCTTTGCTCCTCAGCCTGAGACTGTGAAAAGCTTTTCTATTGAACATGAAATCTGAGTACTATAGCAGAAAGATTTACCCAAACATCATGAAGGACTTTTTTCTTGATATAATACAACTTTTAATTTAATAATTAAGTTGTTGATAAATATAAATACAAAGACAAACAACTGCCAGAAAAAAAAAAAAAAACACTGCTGTAGACTGACTTCAGTGCTGGCCTTAATAAAAATTGCTAAGACAGGCCTGATATAATTGCAAATGTCTGTAATCCCAGCACTTGGAGGGCTAAGGTAGGAAAAACATAAGCTTGAAACCAGCCTGTGCTGCAGAATGAGTTCTGGGCTAGCCTTTGCTACACAGCAAGTCCATATCTCAAAGAAACATAACAGCACAATAGAGCAAAAGTATAATGTATAAAATAAAATGAAAATGCATACAATAAAATACAGTACCAACTCTACTAAGAAGCAGCTCCTAGTATCAGACAGGAGCATTAACCAACATATTCATTAAGTTAACAAGAACCGTTGGTCCTGAGCATTAAAATCTACCCAGTCTTTGCTTCTCTGACCCTCATTCAAGCCTTATACAGCAATTCTGTCTTCCCCACATTTGCTTTTTTTCTATTCCACACAGCAACTATATCAACAAACTCCCTAAAATGAGTGTCCTACTTGGAAGCCTCCCATGGTTTGCTGATACATGCTGGAAGGAGTGAGATTCCATGGCATGCCTCACTTGGCCTTTGGAATCTACCCATGGCTCTGTTGTTTTGTTCATCATTTCTTCTAGTGACTTGAATTATATTCTCAAAAAAAAAAAAAAAGATAGATTAAAGTTAGAGGCACCTGTGCCCATAGATTAGAAATTACTGGAAACTAGAGTCTTTGTAGGTCTCATCAAGTTATCGTAAGGTTATGATGAATTAGAGTGTCCTGATAAAACTAGCTGACCTTATAAGAAGGACAGATATTAAACACAAAAGGCAGGTATTGAAGTGATAAGTACTGGCCAAAAGCACAAAGGTCTCTCAAACACTGCGGAAAAACTACGGCAAAGGCAAGAATAAAGTTTTCTTTCGGGGTCTCTTATGGACAGCCAACTCTTCTACCCTCTGATGTCTGCCTTTGAGCCTCCAGAATTGTGAGAGAGCACACCGCTTTTGTTCTAAGCCATGGAAAGCTTGGCACTAGTGCACACACCCACAGTTCTAGACTGGGCTGCACACGCCTCTCTCTCACTCATACTTCTTTGTCACCAAGCCACACAGTCCTTCATCACCTACCTGGTTACAATCCACCCATCCTCAAAACGTCCATCAAAATCCATTTACTTATGCAGAAAATCTTTCCGAGAACCCATGCACCCACATTAGGGATCCCTGGCAGGCTTTCTTACGCAACATGCGCTTAGCACAAACACAGTAATAATTTGGTCCAAGTGTATCAACAGGAAAAAATTCTGTGTCACTGATGACAGGTTCTCCCGGGGAAACCCCGCAGCCAGCTTCCCTGGGACACACAGCAAGGTGCCTGACTGTAATGGCTGGCTTACCATGGAAAAGGTCTGCCACGGCACTAACTGTGCTCTGCCGAGTCCCCTGTTTATGTCTCTGTCTTTTCCATCAGAGTGTGAGTTCCCTGAGGCTGGTTGCTATATTCCCATTCTTGAGCAAAACATCTGGCACATGATAGCTACTCAGTAAATTAAATTGGCCGATAGGGTGAATAAATCAGTATTACTGAGTTATTATGAGGCACCAGAGGACTGCGTACAATGTCAAAAGGGCAAGGTCATTTTCCTAGGAGTTTTAAATAGAAGGATGGACTGAATAGCATCTTCTGGAAGCAAATGTACTCTCCATCAAGTTGAATGACTTATATAACTCCATGATACCATAAATACAATAGAAGTATGAAAAAATAAAATAATTAATATAAGAGTTATCAAAAACTTCTGAAGCATGACAAAAATAACCAAATCCATGCAGCAATTCTGTTTAGTCATGCCTTTATATATAAACAGTTGATTTCTTTAACTCGTTGGATCTCTGAATACTTAGGTATTCAGAAACTGTAAACATTATTACATATGTTTTTAACGTTAGTGTTTATTTTGCTTTTTTTTTAACTTGCCTGTGTGTTTTGAGACAAAGGCATAGAGTATAGTCAAGGTTAGTGCTCCTGCCTCAGAATATTGTGTTGTACAATAAATTCTCAATCATATTTAATATACATTTTGGATACTAACAAAACAGAGATCTGAATGTAAATTCGAATCCTGGAATTTTCAATTAATTACTGGCCAAGAGTTAGTGTCGAGGAAGTAACTCTTTTGTAAACACAATATTACAGGGCTACTTGATAGAGACAGTTGGTACTAGGACGCAAGGGATTATGGGCAGTGATTAAAACTAGTCTGACCTTGTCATGGAACTTGACAGTTTTAATGTTGTCAAACACATTCAGCAAATGGGCCTGGATGGTGTGGGAGTCTGATGCCTGGCCCAGAATCTCTAGCAGAGCGGGATCTGAGACAAAGAAGAAGCGGGGAAAGCACAGCCGTTTCTTCTCCAAGTATCTGCAGGGGGGAAAACCACAAGGCTCTGTAAGAATGGCATGCTCATCTTTTGTAAACAGCTTCCCTGGGTGAGAAGAGGAGGAAGGATCATGTAACCATCTGCTTTTCCCACGTTAATGTTTTAGTGTTGGTTGGTTGTAAGTTTATCAAATAGCATTTCATAGTCTTAACAAAAAAAAAGGGTGTTGTTTTTTTTTTTCAGAGTAAGTGGTAGAATTTATTTTTTCATAAATGTTAAGTTTATATATTACTTAGGATACCATATCATGTATTTTTTTTATAGACAGCAAGATAAAAATACAGTTCATGGGTTCATTTCAGATTTTGCTTTGCTTCTCAGCACTGCAGAAAGACTCCACATCATTAGAAGTCTCCCATAGGAGAGAAGTAAATACACCTTTCCTCAGGACAGAGCAAACTCCAGGGATTCATCGCTCCATCACAGGGCTCCTGCCTCCCAGAGGTACCAAAATCTTTTGCATATGCCCATTATTTGGCAGTAGTTCAGACAGCCCATCCTCTGGGTTCATGTCAGAATTTAAACTGCCCATGAGCTATTCATGTAAGCCAAACAACCTGAGTTCAATCCCCAGGACCAACATGGTAGAAGAGAAATAATGCCCAAAAGTTGTCCTCTAATATCCATAAGTATACCGTGGCTTGTGCCCACTATGTGTACATATACACAGAGACACACATCATTATCATCATCATTATAACAATAAATAAAATATAAATAATTTTTTAATAAAAACCTCATGATTAAGGCTGGAGAGATAGCTCAGTTGGTAAGATGTTTATGATCTGAGTTAAGTGCACAGAGCCAATATTTTCTTAAAAAAAAATACAGGTTGTGATGGAATATACATGTACTCCCAATGATAAGGAGATGAAGACAGCTGGATCCTTGGGACTCGCTATCCTTTTTGTCAAAAAGGCTATCCTTTTTGTCAAGTAATGGGCCAGTGAAAGACATTGTCCAAAAAAGAAAAAAAAATGGTGAACAGCTAAGGGTGTTCTCTGGCTTTTACAAGCATGTGTACATACATGAACACACATGCACACCAGATCATGGTATCTACTCTGTGATGGGATAGAGGATACACAACGGAGCTTCCCAAAAGTATCAGTTCAAGGACACAAAATGGAAAAAACAAAAACAAAAACAAACATTTTCCTGGAAACAATATGTTTTATGCGATGGGTCTTGTGGAAGTTGTGGCTGAGTATGTGTGGCTCTTTGTATCTCCCCTCCTCCACCCAGGCAGGACCTCTTTCATTTAACTAAGATCCACTTGTGCGAGTGGTGTACCAACTCTCCTCTCCAATATATTGTTCTTTCTTTGGCCTTAACTTTCTAATAACTTCATTATTTTGCAAAAGCCATCTCAAAACTGGTCCTGAGTATATACAAGGATAAAAGGGTGGTCCGTAGGTTTTATTTTTTCAGTTTGATAAAGTCATCCTTTCTTTATTTTATTAAAATAATTTCAAAATTCTGCTTGAAGCCCAGTATTTTTAACTATCACCTATGTCTGTGAGAGCAGCCTAGCTTGGTAACTCAGGGCTTGGTTGAAGCTGGTTGAGACACTGTCACCAGTCATGAGGCTACAGAGAAGAGTGCATAGGCAAAGGCCACCTGCCTCCCCAAGTCAGCCAAGGAGACATCATTGTTCAAATTAAATTCAGATGAATGTCTGCCTGGAGTGCTGATATACACTTTGAAAATTACTTTCATCATGTTTCCAGGTACATGATTTTTTGGGTGTCACTGTTTGCTGGTTCCTTATTATTGTGGTCGCCGCCGCCGCCGCCGCCGCCGCCGCCGCCGCCGCCGCCGCCGCCGCCGCCGCTGCTGCTGCTGCTGCTGGCGGCCTGGTTTGCTTGTGTGTTTAGGATTTAATTGTTTTTGTTTTATTGGTTTGTATATAGGTGTGTATATTTTGTTTGTTTGCTTAGGAGAGTTGTTTATGTTTTTTGTGTTTGTTATTGGTTTATGGTGTGTGTGTTTGTGTATATGTGTGTTTGTGTATATGTGTGTATATATGTGTGTTCATTTTGGTTGTTTAGGTTAACTTCTTTTTTTGCTTGCTTTGGTTTTTTGAGATAATGTCTCACTCTGCAGTCTAACCTGTCCTCAAACTCCCTATCTTCCAGTCTCAGTTTCCTGAGTACTTAGACTACAGGCATGTATCACTGTGCCTGGCTTGAGGTTAATTTATTTTAAAACCAGTGAGAGTAAAGCAATGGGAAAGGCTATGAGTCTGAGTTTTCAAAGACTCCATGTTACATGTGCACTGGGAGAAACTACTGCATACACTCATATCTCTATAGTCTTTACTGCTTATCTATCTATGTTGTTTCATATATAATAAATATAATGCAATGTTTCAGTTCTGTCTATAGCATAGAAGATAAACAATAAAAATGTCAGAAAGGGGGCACAATAATTTTCAAACTGGGTACCATATGAGAATGCTTACAAGATTTTACCCCCTAAGGAAACATCTCAAGTCTTTAGTCCAACACCAGGATGGGTATGGAATGTGAGGCTCTAAATGATAAACCTCATCTATGCAATAGTTTTGTGTGTGAAACTAGTCTTAGCGAAACAGCACAAGTGTGGCTTTTATTACCTACCCTTTCTGTTCTCTTTTGTGTCCAAGGTCCTGAGAGCTTTCAAAGAACCACTGAACTCACCCTGTGAGGGACTTCTGGCAGATTTCCAACTGGTCCAGTAAGTGGGGCAGCAACTGTCCCATGGTCTCATCTCCAACACAGCACTGAACCACATTTGGTATCTCATGGGCCCGTGTCATGATCTTCACCCAAGACTTATCTATGTTGGAAAAGCGCTTGGCTTCCTGTAGAAACGACACATGAGATAAGTCTGTGGTCTGTCTCAATAAGGAGGCATCACACATGCCAAGAGCTAAGACCATCATTCCAACCAGGCTAGACACCCAAGACATATATGTCTGAGGTCCACACGGTCTATGTAAAGCCTCCCGTGTCTTTCTCATTATATCATCTCTCTTATTGAATAAGAATCTGTGGCTCAACCCTGACTTTTCCACTATGTTAAAGAAAACAGGAACTGAATACAAAAATAAAAGTCTGTACAAGATGACTTCGGAAGAAAGATAACTCTCAGATGTTCTCAGGGTGATCTCTAAATAGAGTGAACTTAGTATTTTCAAGAGTTCTGTAGAGGATTAGACTGATTGTATGTTGAGAAAGCAAATACTAAGTATTAAATGCAGACATTCACAAATAGTCAGGGTGTGGAGAGGAAGTGTCAGTAGAGAGCTCAGCCACAGAAGGAATGCATATATCACTCCCCTTGCCCACAAGACTCAGGGCGTATTTCATAATGACTGAAAAGAGCCAGGGATTGAAAGCCTAGGATAAAACTGTGTCCTCTGAACGTGACAGGACCACTGCACTTACCGGCTCACAACAGCTATGGTGGCTTCAAAATGACCTGCACAAAATCAAGCCAGTCAACATAGCATCATGGCGGTGGGGCCAGTGTTCTTGAAACCCCACACTAATGAGGCACTATGAACAAGCTGATGTCTTCTGAGGGAGGGAGAGTCAACTTTCTTTAGTGTGTTTCCTAACAGGTCAACCATGTACACTGGGTGGCTCCACACCCAGGAGTACATAGACAGCATGAATTGGACTCAGTGAATTATTTGGAAAAAAAATAGAACAACAAGGTGTTTGCAGAGTAATATAGTAGATCTGGGAGGATTTAGGGGAGAAGAGATGACCAATGAGATCAAAGCACATTGCATAAAATCCTCAAAGAATTCATAAAATAAATTTGAAATAACACAAAATTAGTTCTAATATATTATTGTAAAAAACAGACACATTTCTTTCAGAATAAATGAAAAATGCATACATTATTTTGGGATGTTTGAAATAATTATTTTTTTCTTTTTTTTTTTTCCTTAACAGTTCCTCTATGCCACTAATGATCATGGGTTCACAGACATGAGAGAAAGAAACAGCACTTTAACCCTTAAATATTGTATATAAATGTTTCCATTGACATGTGAAAAAGAAAAACCAAGAATATATAATGAACACTTAAAATTCTAGTTTATGAATGTGTTTCCTGCTGACCAAAAGATAAATGTTCTTGCCTACAAATGGTTAACATATCTACCTAGCACAGTTCACTGAAATAACCGAGGAGAAAGTTACAGGGCCTTTCTGAGAACAATGGATATAGCCATGCTTCTACAATTCAAATATGAGGTTCAATGTCCTAACCTTGCAAGAAAACCATAGTACTTAAATAAGATGTTTTTTTAAGTTTAGTTTAATGTCTTTAAAAATCTCAAAATATGCCCAATATGACCATAGTAAGGTAATTACCATTTGATGAGAAAAAAATACACTCAGTATTTCAGAGAGACAGCCTTTCCCGCAGATTTCCAACCCTCAATTTTACAGCATGGATATAATTGGGTATATTCTATAGTGTGCATTATTTTAAAATGTCAGTAGTAAAAGAACAAATTATCCTACCATTGTCAAGATAACTATGCCATAAATTTACACTGTTCCAAACTCCACCTTCAAATTATCTGAAAGCTTATACCAATGACACAGAAATTCATTTTCTGCGTTTTTTTAACCCTCAGTTTCTTATCAGACATCATAGTTTCAAAGCATTTTCACTCAGTAATTACCATAATTCCTCACTTCTTTTGAAAGATAATATCAGAAAAGGAAAGAAAAAAAAAAAAGCTAAGTTGCCCAGAATCAAATACTCAATAAAGATTACAATATTATTACTTTCTTTAAGGAGTTATCAGTTCTTAGATCTTTCACAAATTGAATAACATGATAAAATCATAAAGAAAATTCCAAAACCTTGGGCAGCTGCTTGGCAATGTCACCTCCCACAAAGACTGCTTCTAGATAAATCCACAAGTTCTGAACAGTCATCCAGTTCTCAATGATGTCTGTCGAGTTGGAAAGGCATTGAACCCACTTTTGAATCTGGGCTTTGAATGGCATGTTGTACCTAAAATAAGAATCACTTATTTTGATTGTGTTATTTTTTTAAAAAAGACTTCATGTTTAACATATTTTCTATCCTTTACCACTTGCTTCCATCTTAGCATAGTAAACAGGGTGCTGCTGGATGTTTTCTGTTTGGTTTTTACAGCTTCGATCTAGAGTATGGATAGCAGCAAGAGACAGATTATCTGAGAAAGAAATCTGGAATGAGACAACTCCACCCAGATTCCAGAGAATTGTTGTGATATCTAGGAGCATAACATTCTCTTTGCTGAGTTTCTGTGCCTATTCCACAGGGGGTATGAATTGTCATTCACTGGTGGCAATTACAAGACCATCAATGGATACTGAATAACGAATATAAGTTTCAACTATCACAATATCTGGACTCTCTTTAGCCTCCTTCTTCCAGGTCTTATTCTAACTTTCCACCTTCTTTTTGTCCAGTTGTTCCCGTGTGTGCATACATGTATTTTAAACTATTGCTGAATCCATAATATACATATACAAGGCCTATAAAAAGCAGTCAATAAATATATTTGCATGCTTTTTCTGTCTCTCTAGGTGTGCTGCCATTCAAATAATCTTTCTTTCTAGTTGTAGAGTATAGTGTCCATGGTTATAAAAGAATTACCAAGTGCTGAACAGCCCAAACTCAACACTATAAAGAGTGCAAAAACTCAATTTTATAGCCATAGTACTCAGTCAGATGTGCCAAATAAATGAAAAAAAAAACAGGAATTTTATTGAAATAATGTTAAATAGATAGTATTTCCTATATTTTAATTATAGACTAACACATGGTAAATGTCTCAAATCCCAGTGTTCAAGAGGCAGAGGAAGGAACAGCATGAGTTTAAGGCCATCCTGGACTACATAACAAAATTCTGTCTCAAAAACATATTTTAGACACACACATGAAGTGAGGTTTTAAACCCAGAAAAGCATAACACAATTATATCACAGTGATGGTATCCTTCAGAGTCTGGTGTGCAATAAATTATTTGAGGAAAGTACAGAGAAGTAAGTTCATTAGGAAACTGGAGTCTATGGTTTCCATGTCAACACAGGATTGCATCACTGCTACAATGAAACGGTCAAACAGAAGTGTCAGGCTGGCTTCTGTTTGCACCATTATTAATGTTGTCTTGGTCTGTGATCAGTAAAGTATGCGTACAACTAAGTGCTTCGAGACCATAAATGTTAGAACAAAAGGTGTTTTCAGGCAGGATGTTTCCAGAATTTAGAATAGCATTCCCAATTGGAATCGGCGACTTGTTGCACTGTCAGCTTTTCAGGGAGATGTGTCAGCAGCAAAGATGAAATGTTCAAAGGGCTGATTGCAGGTGCCATTCAATCCAATTGATGCCTCAGACACATCCCACAAACAGAGAATAATGGCATGAAACCACTGCCACTTTAGAGCTCAAGAATAAGGAAAATGGTTTTCCTACCTATTGCTCAAGAGAGAGCCCAGCAACATCAAGCTGTCCTCCATGCTGGCGATGACTTCTGAGGTACTGTCTCCTCTCAGGAGGAGTTCTCCACGGGTCTTAAAGCTACTGAATGTTAATGTTTTGTTGTCCCACTCATTGATCACTTGCTTCAGTTTTTGTTCAATGTCTCTCTCCTTCACTGCACTGATGCAAATATCCTGTCAACAGAGTAAGCTCTTGGTTATCCCGGGAAAGCTATGTCATTTTAATAGTCTAAGTCCAGAAGAGCTCCTTATCCATTTCATATGTTTCTAAGGCATCTGTATCTCAAAATATGAAATGCAATGTCATAAATGGTGTGAATGTGTAAACACAAATAGAGGAAGAGGAGGATACAGGTGTATCTAAACAGAACTTTAATTTCTAAAATTTTCCAACAGTATCAGAAAAAGAAATGACAAAAAAGATTCAATATTCTTTTACAGTATAAAATATAATCATAAGCTTAAGACTTGCTATCTCTGATTTCCCTCGCAGGTCAATCAAGTGCAGTGTGAGAGAAAAGAATTAGCAGATATCTGAGTTCGTCCCTGATCTTTAGCCACAACCCCAGTCTCCTGCACAGCTTCTTCCCCCAAACCCATAGCTGAACCCCAACTCATGTCCTCTCACGGTGCTTCTTTTCTTGGTAAGCTCATCTCTGTGTATTCACTAACCTTATATCTCAAAACCCACATTCATTTGCTTCTTCATTTCTCTGTGTGAATATTTCAAGCACAGGCACAAGCCATGAGCTTGCCCAAACTCAAGTTTGATCTTTGCACCCATCACCCAGTCTGACTTCTTACAAATTGCCCATTTCTGCAATCCATGCAGACCTCTCAAAAAGAAAGATTCAGTTCTTCATTGTCGCACCCTTACTTTTTCCCATCATGCTCCTTTTTCAACAAATTCTGCCCACTTTTACTCCCAAAAAAATTACATTAATCTTAACTCTTCACCTTCATACCTCCAATCTGTCAACAAGTCATTACCTCTTCCCTAATCTAATCTTAAAATATCTTAGTAGGTTTGGCCATTATTCTTATCCTCATCTTTCTGAATACAATTATCAGGTTGATCTTTACAAAATGCAAAGCTATGTCATCACCAATAAAAACATATCTCCCATGTGGCTCCACATTGTTCTGGAGACCAAAGCCCATGACATGCACTGTCATGTGGACAGTGTCAAGTGGACAGCTCACAGTCTACTTCCCTGCCCGCAACAGTCTCCTTTCTCTCCTCACCCCTAGCAGAGGGACATAGAGACATCTTTTTTCTTCTAATACACTTCAGACATTTCAAAAATTATGTTTAAGCCTGGCATGTGTAACACACCTGTAATCCCAGCACTCAGGGAGACAAAGAAGGCGTTATCTCTGTAAACTCAAGGCCAGCCTGATGTACAGAGTGAGTCCAGGACAACCAAGACTACACAGAGAAACTGTCTTAAAAAAAAAAAAAAGTGAAACAAAGAATGATGCTCTTTCTGCCTAGAATGGTTTTCTTTGCACTTTCACAGATGCTAATCTCCAGAATAAAACCACTTTCCCTTCACTCAGACACACATGCACCCAGACAAGACAAGTCCTTTGTCACAGGCTTTCCTGAGCAAGCAGCATACTTTCATTCCAGTGCAATTTGGTAGAGATCATAGCTGTACCTTCATTTGTGTAACTAACTGCAGTTATCACTTACCAATCTATAAAAGCAAGACTATATTTCTATATTTCTAACATTGATCCTTTTCCATAGTACATGTTCAGAAAATGAGGGATTGGTAGATGGATGCCATGAATGCATTGTTCTACTCTCTGTCAACTGTACCTCTATTTCCTCTTTGTATTTCAGAAGAGGGGCCTCCATAATATTTCTTAACTTAAAGGTTTCATTGCCCACATCCAGACTATGCCCAGTAAGAGCAGTTATCCTCTGCCAGTGTCTCTCCATCATGGCTTTACTGGCCATGTATTCCAGCAGTGGGCAGCACTCACTAAAGTCATCAATGGTCTTCTTCAGATCCAGAAAGGCCTGCCAATCCTTCAGGGCCCGGGGCAGCTTCCGACACCTGTGAGAAAAACCAACAGGAAAGTCCATTGAGTTATTCAAATCCAGACACTGCTAGAGAAAAATTGTCTGCTAACATTTCCATATACAATAATCTCCACAAGTACAATCTCATTTTGAAGTTTCATGACTCATAACCTATATATTAATAAAACATATTGGCACATATGGAAAATCTTTCTCTAAATCAGAGATTTTTTTTCCAATCTTTTATGACAATTGTCCAAATGGTGGTATTATTTTTAAAGGATGAGAAGTGTCTTTCAATTCATTTTAATTTTTGAACATAAAATTGAGAACTTTCCAAATACACAACACAGCATAAAGTATCCAGCTGCTGACTCACACATGACCAATGACCTTCTACTTTCCTTGGAATCAGCTATTTTAAAATGCTAGAAAAAAAAATATGGTCCATGTTTCTATTTCAGGAAACTACCAAACATAAACTTCAAACACTTTTAAGTGTGATTCAAACAAAATCATCTTTCTTCCAGATAGAGAAAAGGCCCTTAAAACACTTGACCAGCTTTGAAGAGAGTGATTCTTTCATGGTGCACACACAGGGGAAAACAGTAAAACAGCATTTCACACTGATGAAATAGATGGTGACAGCAGACAGAGTCAAGACATGCCAGGCACATTTCTAAATTGCCTGCAGTGACAAGAAAACTTGAAAGCCCATCACACACATGAGTCATGTGGGCTGATGAGAAGGCTCAGAGAAAAAGTGCTTGCAAGTATAAGGTCCTGAGTTCAAATCCCCAGCACTCCCATAAAAAGCTGATCATGGTGGCCAATGTCTGTAATCCAGAACTGAGGAGGCAGAGACAAGAGGATCACAGAGATTCATTGGCCAGTCAATATAGCCAATCAGTGAGCTCCATTTTCAGTGAGAGACCTTGCCTCAAAATAAAAAAATTAAAAAAAAAAAACTGGGTAATGAGGGAGGAAGAAACTGACATTGACCTCTGGCCTCCATTTCTCATACACACACGCCCTCTAGTCCCACACAGATATTTAATCAATAATTCAATGTCTTTGGGAATTCAAAATCATTTGATTTTTTTACCTGCTTTGGAATTCTAAGAGCTCATTGTTGATTTTTTCAATATTCACTTCTGACCAGAGGATATCTTGATAACTATTCACAGTTTCTATGACGCTGTTGTACAGACTGTATATTTTCTGTAGTAGATTTAGCTGCTTCTTTATCTCAAGAAGCTGGGGATACTGAGTAACTGGTAAGCCAAAAAGTTCCTCTCCCCCAGTGTAGGTAATATATTTACGATATATGTTATCAAATTGATTCTGTTAAAAAAAAAATAAGTGAACTGCGTCAGAATGATCTAGACATGGGCTAGCACGCTGGCAAACAAGCAAGAATGTGTGAACTGAAGGCACATGTAAGTAGCGGCAGTAAGTGCGTATAATTATTTATCTGAAAAACTTACCTTTTCTGAAAATGCTTCCAATTGTAAGAACAGAAAATTATCTTACATAAGTATATCCTCAGTCAGAGAATAAAATTTTTACCCTCTATGTGTACTACAAACACAAGACGTTTGTGGGATGTGAAAGATTACCTGAAAAATAATAAGCCTGTCACTGGCTTCCTGGGGCTTCAGTCCACTTGCCATCGGACCATTCTGATTAGACACAAAACACAAGACAAAATGAAGCATCCATATACAAATTTCATGAAATCAACAAACTGGGTTACCAAAGCTCCCAGGGGTGTTGCACACGTGATAGAAAGTTGTGGGGATTTTGTTGTTGTTGTTGTTGTTGTTTATTTTTAATTTCCAAAAAGAACTCTTAATATAATCCATTTGGGAAGACATTCCTGGTCTAGTAAAGCCAAGGAAATACCACAGTGTCCAGACGCTGAGAACCCCTGAAAGCTGTTAACTGTTTATCATCTACCGCTCACATGGAACCAGCAAGGGAGGATCAGTGGCTGCTGTGGAAAGACCTTACAGTTCTGGTTTTGAACAAAAGTGCTATTGTAACTAGCTCACAGAGTAGCATGCTAACAGCTGTCCTGGAAAATGAAACAGTTTCTGTAGTCCTGCTCAGTGCTCCTGTATCATGACAAGGTGGCTGGCCTGTATGTTTCCTTGGGCATGAAGTGAGTGCTCAGACCCAGCCTCTCACCTTGACGAGCTCTGCAGTTTGAAAAGCCCCCTAATAGCTCACCTAATAGACTCAAAACTGACCTCATACTTACATGTTTCCTCTGTGTTGCATGTTAGTTATAATTGGCCAGAAATGCATCTCATCACACAACACATTTACACCACAAGTTCTTACACTAAAACCCCTATCCCTGATTAAAACATGGATAGCAGGGGAGCAAGGCTCCATCTGCCTTGCCTACCACTACGATGTCTTCGGTACAAAGGACAGCACCTACCCAGGCTGAGAGCCTGAAGAATTAATGCGTGCTGTGGAAACGGGGAATCGTGTTTGTTTTTGAATGGTATTATTCTATACAAACTTACAAACCATTCTGGTCTTCACTTCCGTTTGGTTTCAGGTCACAGTGTAGCCTGGGAAGCAACTGAATGACTTCAGAGCATTTCAGTCCTCATTTAATGATAAACTTATATTGTGAATTAACTCTTATGGGATGAATACAAAAAGAGAAATAGATTTGTCCATGTGAATATAAAATTACTCTTCCTACGAAGTCTTATGGAAATTAACATAGTTTTTAAACACTTGCACTTTTGGGTGTCCCGTTCATTCTCCCATGAATTCTCACAGAGAAGAAAGGCAGAGTCATACCAATTCATAGTCCAGGTAAAACTGCTGACAGACTTGGAGGAACACTTTGACGGCGCCAATCAGCTCTTTCCGGAAAGCAGGCTGCAGAGAGACTAACTCATTCTGAACGTCACTGGCCCGGGCCAGCAGCTTCTCCCAAGCGTAGCGCAGAGTGTCGACCTTGTCCATCTCCTCCTTGGCTACCAGAAGTCCGTACTTGTTAAGGAGGGCATAGGACTCCTAGAGACAAGAAGAAAAACTCTCTCGGTCAAATGTGTAAATCCTCACACAATCACAGGCTGGAGCTGGGAACGAGGGGACTGGCATGATGGAGAGGCCACCCTAAGGGCTCTAATAATTCTACTCTTGAACTTCAAGGACCTAAGTGAGCCAGCAAGCCAGTCAGATCCAGTTCTCTCATCTGTGAAATGAACAGACTCTGGCTATTTCACAGAATGTCTGGAAGTGTCTGAAAACATCATTTTCAAAACTGTAAAACATGACACAATGATATTTTTACTAGGCCCCCAAATTGTATTTGAACACTATAAAATTATAACAAGTGAATGGAAAAACATAAAGCTTAACTTCTAAAGTTAGGATAACAAAATAAGACACCATTTAAATTCATTCTTAGCTTACTTTTTTCAGTGGAAACAGGGGCCAGTCTCTGCCTTTTTTTGCCTGCTTCTGAGAACCTTTTCTTCCTATCGGGTTACCTCATCCAGACTTAATATACGGGGAGGGGCCTAGTCTTATTGCAACTTGATAGGCTATGTTTGGTTGATATTTCTGGGAGGCCTGCCCTTTTCTGAAGGGAAACGGAGGAGTGAGGGACTGGGAAAAAAGGAGGGTTGGATGTAATATATGAGAGAAGAATAAATTAAAAAATAAAAAGAATCCCTGACAAGAAAGTCTTTTTTGAGCCAAAGCTTGAGCCAAGTCTTTGTTCTCAGAATGCAAAATATTAGAACTAAAAAAGATTAATATGGCAGGTTATCCAACTCCAAGTGCTCATAAATATAAAAACCACTAAATGGACTTGGTACATTATATGCTCATGGTATATTCATATATATATATATATAATTTTAAAAGAGGCTATAAGTTTGAGAGGGGAGACGTTAGACGAGCTGAAGGCATGGAAATAGTGTAAATACTGATTGGTAATACACTAACTACTAATATAGAAAAAGATTTTAAAATTCAGATAAGCAAAGTTGATAATTTTTCTCCCTTGTTTTATTCTTTTCATAATCTTTCATGTGTATGTGCATTGTACCTGGTACTGAGCCACACACACACAAAGACATTTTCATATAGTTATACATAAGCCACTCTCAGACAGACAAATATTGTGTGTTCTCTCTCCTAGATTTTATACAGATCCATAAAATTGTGTGTGTGTGTGTGTGGGAGAGAGAGAGAGAGAGAGAGAGAAAGAGAGAGAGAGAGAGATGAACAGAAAAGTCAAACTGCCAATGGAAATTAATGAGGAGAAGAGCAAGGAAAAGAGATGCAAGGAAATATGGCTGGGGCATGTGCTCCAAGTTTGTCTGCATTGACTACTTCCCTGAATACCCCTGGCTTCTCCAACACTGTTCTCCCCAAATGCGTCTGGTAATATTTCATTGATAGTTTAGATGTAGACGAGAACATAGATTTAGGCAAACATAACCCATGCCTTTCTCCTCTTCCTCCTCCTTGAAGACAGGCTGCAGTCCGTGCTTCAATATAAATAGGAACAGGGAAGTGGAGATGCCTACAGCTGGAAGACCCAGAAAGGTACAGTACAGCACAACTCCCAAATAAGACCATTGACTCTACTACTGTCTTAACTTTGAGGTAGGAATAAATTAGGTTGTGTTTAGACTTAAGGGACACCCCCTCCCAATATCATGTGGATAAGGGGCCATTTGCCTTACTTCTGGATTTTTTAAAGATTTACTTCTTTTTATTCTATGTGGGTGAAGGTCTGGCTACATGAGTGCACCACATAGATGCATTGCCCGGGGAGACCAGAAGAGGACATTGGATCCCCTGAGCTGGAGATACGAGGGGGCGTGAGCCACAGTGTGTGTGCTGGTAACAGAACCCAGGTCCTCTACAAAGGCAGCAAGCACTCTTAACCACCGAGCCAAAGCTCCAACCCCTTAAATCTGGACTTTAATGGCAGAGTTACATTTAATTATAGTTAAAATAATATATTGAAAGCAATAAATGCAGTGAGCCACATGTAATAAGGTTTTCCAGCTGGAAAAGTCAACCCACTGTGTAATAAAACAAAAGTAGAGGAGCAGGGGGCAAGGCTTGTAGAATAAGGGCTTGCCAGGCAAGCATGAGCACCAGGCGTGGTGGTATGTGACTATAACCCTAGTGCAGGGGGCCTGAGATAGGTAAATAGAAAAATCAGACTGACTACCCAGCCTTGCTGAAATGGAGCGCTTCCGGTTCCGTGGGAACCCTTATCTCAAAAAAATAAGGTGGAGACATGATTGGAGTAGATATTTTGACATCAAACTTGGGCTTCCACATACACCCATATAGGCAATCACACACATGTGCACACATTCATACACCACACACACACACAGCGACAGAGGAATATAATGCTAATTATGTTGTTTTCCGTGATGTGTTTGACCTCTGTCTTTGTGTAGAGGCAGAGCTGTAGAGGCAGAGCTGGGATGTTATCTGCATACCTGGGTGCTCTTAGCCTGACAGCACATACCAAATCTCTACTGAGCACCCGGGATTCCCATCCCCAACTGCTGAGGGTGCTGATTTTAGGGACTGTTGTTTCCTCCTTTAGAAAGTTGCTCTGGGTGGATGGGAGCCTCCTTATGGAGAGACTACGGTCAATGACCCACAGACTCAGCGTCACCCAGGGCAATATCTCATTCCTCCATGAGGGTGTAACTGTGTGACACTTGTTCCATAGAGTCCCCATGGCATGAGGCTGAAGATGGTCTACAGCTGAGACCCCAGCCTCACTCAGCTTTTCTCTCATTGCCTTTTTCTTCTTCCAGCACTCCTTTTAACCCAGAATCATTCATCCATAAATCATTTGCCCAGAAACAAAAGTTTATCTCTTGAGCACATAAAGGAAAATAACTAAAGCCTACAAGTTTCCTCACAAAGTGCAACCTCCGTGCTGAAATTGTTGCCTTAGCTTTAAAGCCCATTTGTTGTTCAGGCCCAGACCCAGTTAATGCTAATGGCATTAAAGGTGTAAAAATATTTCTGTGACAGACAAACTTCCCATCTACCTCAATGGGCCCCACTTGGAAGTCAGTGGAGATCTGCTGCTCCCTGATTTCTTTCAGGGCTGCCATTGCAATCCGAATATCATCCAAGTCTTTAACTGGCCGGCTCAGTTTCTTTTGGAATTCTTCAACAACTGCAAAAATGTTTTCCATCTCACTCCTGTACTTTTTGTTACAGTGATGGCCAATAACAACCATCCAGGCTTTTGTCTCTGCAGTCAGAGAAAACTTCAAATCAGCTGTAAAAACAAAAGGCCCACAGGTCAGTCTGGAAAGCTTGAACCAACATAAAGAGACATGAGGCATTATTCACTCACAGTAAATACTGTGAGTCTAGAACCATGTGAAACTAGAATTGAAAATATTTTCCAAGCTGAGGATACAGCTCAGTGAGTGAGAGCCTTTGCTGTACCATCAGCAGAGCCGAAACCTGTCAAGTTTTACGTTCAGAGAGGAACCCTAGCTCAAGGGAATAAGATGGAGATCAGTGTAACATGACATTTGGTGTCCCTGGCCTCCATGCGTGCACATGCATACACAACACAGACAAATAGCACACACCAAGAGACTTTCTTAATCCTTATAACTAATTCATCTTATAAATCTTATTTTTAAAATTCATATCCTGTTTTAAAATCCTCACACACACAATGTATATAAATGCATGTATAAGATAAGTTTCAAATGTTTGCTATTGTTACCTATAACAGCCAAATCCTAATTCTCCCTACAACAGACTCATCCCCTCTCTAAACTACCCTTTACTTTCAAGTCAAGAAGCCAAGTGTTAAGATAGACCAGAATTAATAATTATGCAGAAGAGAATTAAAAACAAATCTACAAATGGGTCTAAAATCATGAAGCCCATAAAAGGAA